CCTGCATTTTATAAAATCGTATACATTTTTGCATTTTTCGCGACTACACAGAATGCAACACAAAAGCTAAACCGTTTCATTACTTCGATTATTCACAACACACAACCTTACATAACTTTCTGTAAATTGAATTATTATCAACTTAACAAATACTTGTCTTTGAACAGTTTTAACACAAATACCACAAAACTATGAGCAAAAACAATAATTTGTCAAATAAAAAACGAACGCATACTAACGATGTTACCAAACTTCATGTGTAAACAAAATCGATGATCGATAACCCAAAATGGCTTGCAATACTTAAGCTTAATGCAGATTGTGAGATAATAAGCAATTACACTGTGTTGCAATAATTTTAAAATAATTGTAAAACGCAAACAGATTAGAGCTTGTATTATATATACTTGTAAGTAAAAATGTATATGTGAAATCAATAAGTACCGCATTTATAATTGATTAGGAATGTATGAAATTTTTTTAACATAATCTGAAAATTATTAATATGATAATATTTGCAATTTTCTGTGAAGTGGATTGGTTACTAATAAAATATTTCATGTACAAATTGGTTGCTAAATCTTATTGGAATTTGTACACCAATAAGGAAAACTGTCTACCTATAGTATAGTTCGTTTCACGCTTACTTTAGCCTACTCAATGTGACGGCATACGCGTGCTCTCTACAACACCTACGCATTTAAAGCTATTTATGCGCTTTACACACATTTTGTTGCGTCCATTGATGTTGAATAGGGAACCTTTAAAGATTTGCAAAATTTTCCACCTCAACATTACAGCAAGACATGAAAAATACATCAAGGACAGCAACCATACAAATGCAACTATATGTGTATGTAATTTGTGGCAGGAGTATAAAGCGTCGCCGAAAAGTGTCAGCGCCACGCGAGGCTGATGGGTTTTTTACTGCAGGTTCGAGGCAAAAGGAGTGTCTAAAAATTGCATGCTCTTAAAATTTTATTAACTTTGCGTAAAATTTTACTATGCAGTCACGCTTACAACATGGAAAATTTTAGCGGAGACATGTTGGGATGGGAATACGTTGGAAATTGAAGCAGTGACGTTGTAAATGATAAAAAAAAATCAAGAGGACAAAAAAGAAAATTATACATAAGAATGGCTTGTTTGATGAAAAAGCCGATAGGAAGAAGGCTATGCTGTAAGCTTCAAAGATTTTGACAGGAGAAAAAATTACATTAAAATGTTTCAAAAAAATATAGTAACAAAGTTGCACTACCGTTGGTTGAAAACTGAAGCGCAAAATCGCCTCAACGCAAGCGTCCGCACTTTTGGCATTATTGCGCCCATTATGCGCGTAATATCAGCGTGATTGCAATGATGCAAAAAAAAATTTTTTTTTTTAATAGAATTTCCAGATGAAAACGCCGTCTGTAGACTGTAGTAAGCTAACTAGACACTATTGATTGAGCAGGGCGCCAATTCTGCATGATTGAAGACTATTTGTTGTATTTTCCAAAAATTTTCAATGTGAGATTTCCACTCAAATTCTCACACACAATTTACGTAGCACTTTCCAAGCAACTATCTGCAAATTATGTATATAAAATGTGGTATTGCGTAATTTCGCACAACGAAAACACAACGCAGGAGTGCTTTTTTATTTATTCGCGCGTTGCGCCCAACACTTTTGGACAGCGTTAAATAGGCGTTGCCCAATCAACACTGCGAAATTCCACCTACAACAACAACAATAACAATAATTGGCACCCAACAAAAACCATGCAAAAGAGAATGCACTCTTCGCCACACAAAAAGCGAATATCAAGTGAAAGTACAACGTATGACGACGGCAAACAACTGCCAGCAAAGTGAATGCGAAACGCCCCTGACAAATGGTGAACGCCGAGTGGCGTGCGCTGTGTGGCAAGCAGTACAACGCGAATGTCCTTTCCAAGGCTAATGTAATATGCCACTCAACTGCATAAACACAGCGTGTTATAGATACATACACACATACATATACATAAGTATGAATGTAAGTGATACTGATGACGCGTAGCGCTGTAAATGACAGTGAACAGCCAAAACAAAAACAACAATATAAAATGGTATTACAAAAAACTGTATGCAATTCTAGCTAGCAGCGTGCTTGCGCAAAAAAAAAATGAGAAAGCAAAATTTTTTTTAATATATTATATGAAGTGGAAAATTATTTGAAGAAGAAGCGGAAGAAGTAACGTTTTTTAAAGCTATACCATAATATTATCAAGCTACTGCATTATCAGACACGTTTGGGTTGGATTAGTATTAGGAGGCAAGCTTTTCTCAATTTCATCCGTTTGGAGTCGAGTCAGTTCTCCAATGTCTCCTTGCGTTGGACCTTTGCATCTCCAGTTGAGCTCAGCAGCCGCTGGTCAACGACCATCTGGCCCGGAGTCAACCGTAAGAAGTCATCCGAACTACTGGCTCTCAACAAAGTTCATGTCGCTACAATTATAGCTGCTCTAACTGGACAATAACCAATAGGTTAACACGTACACGTGTATGGAGGCAGGCGAGTTGAAATCATCTTGTCACTTTCTTCTCTACTGCATAGCTTTTGCCAGACTGAGGCTAAAATATCTCGGTAGACACAACTTTGGCGAACCTAGCGAAGTGGCTGGAATTGATATTAACTGCCTTGTGGAAAGCACATTCGTCGTTCGATGTGGATCTGGGTATCCAGCTTTTAGGAGTGTATGGGTAATACAATGGTCGAACAACTGTCCAGGTGAGACTCATCGATTTCGGATCAACCGTACAACCTAACCTAAACTAGGTTGAAATAGCTTGGCAGTCATGCCTACGGAGCCCCAGGAGATATAGTCGAAACTGACATTAGCCGTCACAATAAATTTGTGATCGGCTCAAAGCCGATTTATGAGGGTCTTGGATTAATTTTATGGGAGTTGTAGGTAATAGAAAAGACCGGCGTTCTAAGCTGTCCAAGTGAGATCCCTGTTAGGATCGATCTTTTAAGTTAAACTAACCTATATCACTTAATTACTAAAGATATTAAATATAGGTAAATTATTCTCTTGCACCGAATTTCTTATTTAAATAGATGAAATCGTTAATTCATTTAAGCACACATACACTTTGCTCTCTGAAAGGGAATCTATCATCATCATTTATCATACGAAATACATGTGTGCATGTGGCAACACCGCCTACCTATTGATATTTGCCCTTTCACACCTGCACGCCTACACAAATATTAATTTAGCTCTCTATATTCACACGACTAAATGTGAGTATGAAGGTGTGTTTTTGACTGATGTAATTGCGTGCCGCAGGTTAAAACACACCTCGGCGCTGACTGCTGACTCCTGGCCACCTAACAGCTGGCAATTGTCAAACAAACTAAACACACGCATATAGAGACACACACATAAGTATGTGCATAACTGCCAACCAATCTAGGCAGTCAGCAAGTCAAACTCTCGCCCAAAGTGTCGGGCTCGAGCTCGTTGGCGTTCGACAGTCAGTGCTGATTTTGCATTGACACCCTTCATCAACTCATCAGCTCAATGAATTCAATTATTTGCGCCAACTGACTAACCGAGAGGATGGACAGAAGGATTGACGAACTACTTGGTTGAGTGGTTCACACATGCACACACACATCACTAGGCGCGCGCTGAAAAAAGGTGGCATGCCATTAAAGGTTGCGGGTGCAAAAGCGACAAAAGAGTCATTTAGGAATCAATGGCATCAAGCGGCGCTTGTGGGCGTTAATGCCAGCAACAACAACAACGACAACAACAATAAGCAATAACAACAACACATAGTGTGCAATATCGTTTGCGTCATCACCGGCCGCAGTTGTCACGTGTGTATGTGCGCGCTCAGCTAATTTGCCTTTCAAGTGTGTGAGCTGGCGTGTTGTTGTTGTAATTGCGAAAAGCTCGGTGCGCTGCTGTCGCTACTAATACTCATACAACAAATTAACTGGTGAAACTATTGGCACCCGGTCGCCTCAAAAACAAATACCATATATACACACAAGCAAACACACACAC